AGTTTTGCATCTCTTTGTCTAGAGCATTCTCAAATAGATTTTCTTTTACAGAAATCCTGCTTATTCATTTGCAGACCATTTCAAATCCTGAGATCTCCTCCATATCGTTTCCTTGATCTCCCAAAATGATCTTTCAAAGTTCAGAACTCACACCACATAGCATTTGTACTCTCTTTATGTACTTAATCATATTTTAAATTGTATTCTATGTAAGTTAAACAAGATCCATATGTATATTACTTTATTGGAATTTTCCAGGGCAGAGCCTAGTTTGTGTTTTACAATATATTTCTTTCCTGCCTTCCCACAACACCTAACATGGTACTCTGTATACATAGGATGTTCTGTGAAACAGTTCATTAAAGAGACATTGTGGCATAACAGAAAAAACAGGAATTTGAGTAAAAAAAACAAAACAAAACAAAAAAACACTTGGATTTGAAGACTGGATTAAATATTGTGTGACCCAGAACAACTTAACCTATATGAATTCCAGTTTTCTAAATTTGTAATAAAGGGAATATTATTATCTACTCTTGAGGCTGGATGCAAGGGCTAGAGATAATGTGTATAAAACATTTATAATATGTCTGGGTGTAGTACATGCTAAATAAATATTTGTATTTTTGCTTTATGTAATGAAACATTTTATCATCAGCTATATAAGCTATGGGAGTGCATGTGAGGTTGATCACTACATATATACTAGCAGAGTTCACTTTTGAATAACAGATAGCATGTGTTGTCTTGAGAAAAAAATTACCACTGCCTTTGTAAAGATGTCCTCATTACATTATGGCCACAGATGAGTGGTTCCCTTGTTCGCGTATGTCAACTATTTCCTCTCTGAAATCTCCCTCTCAACAGTAGTGCTACAGCAGTAGGTAAACAATGGATAAATGTAACAATAGTCAGAAAAGAAGACTAATGCCACCTTCATCTATTAAGTATTTGATTTATTTATTCATTTATAAAGCAACAAGTATTTGAAGGCGTTAACTATGTGTAGGTCCTGCTAGTTAGATACAATATTGAACTAGAAACAGATCCCACTCTCAATGAAATATATACATAAATGGTTATGAAATAAGAGGGAAATGGATAAGTTATTAAGGTTATGGTTTAGTTGCAACCTTGGAGCAAAACTCAAGTGATAGCCACCGAAGAAAATTGTGTCTTACAGTTTCACATCCCCAAAGGTAGACAATATTCTCTATCTATCTTGGAGTTAGAATTACTAAACTAATGTAAGAATGTATTTAGGTTGATGGAAAGAAATTCAGATTATTCTCAAACCTGTGTATTTATCAAAATACATAAATGTAAATAAAGTCGTTTTCCCACTCAAGTTCTTCACAATGAAAAATTATACCTTTAACTCAAATTGGCCACACGTTTGAAAGAACATAAAATTCTTTCTGTGCTCTATATTTTTATGTAAGCTTAAACAGAAGATAAGCATAACACTTAATGTATGAATACCCATTTTTTTAATAAAGGATTCACTATACTGCTATAGAACAATGCAGGCAGTTTTCTCATTTTTATGTTTATTAAATTTGTATTTCAGCTTTTTATCTTGCTGCAATTTGGTAAATGCCACTGATTTAGTTTAGATTTTATCGTTACAGTGTTACAGTTTTAATAGCACTGGGCATTTATTCCTGTTAGTTTGTTCTGCTGCTTTCAAGAATGGTATTTAATAAGTGTCCTAGCTCATTTGATGTGTCTTACTTATAGATCCCTTTGCACCAGAGAGAACGACCAAGTATTCTAAAAGCTGACAGTTGTTCAGGGGATTCACAACTGATCATATCCAATTTAGGGGAATTTTGACCTTTCATACATTCCTTTGCATAATTATTTCTGGGGGGAAAGCAAAACAGATTTTGATAGACCCCAGTGCATGGCACATAGTAGGTTCTCAGTATCTTTTAAAAAGAGATTTAAATAATTGAAGCAAAACATTTGCTATGTTATTGCTTTGTGCTTACTTTCAATTATCAGCATCATAATATAGTGGTATTGCTAATGGTGTGACTCATGTTTGAGAAACTACAATATTCTTAAGGATTTGCTATTAGAAAGAGGAGATTATAATAAAGACAAAGAAAAGAACACATTCTGGTTAGAAATCTGTTTCTAAAATGACCTATTATTGTGGAAGACATGTTAGGATTTTTTACTTAGTAGCATTCCCTGGATCACATAATCTACCATAGGGTTATAAAAAGAAAAGAGTTTTATTATGTAATGTAATACAGTCTTTTATGTTAAGCAAAATTTGATTGTGAAAACTAATATACAGAGTGTAACATTTTATTTAATAACCTTGAGTTATTCCCAGGTGAAACTGAAAAGTAGTATGCTGACAGGAAAGAGTATAGGCCTCCTAGGAACAAATGACTTGACAAAATGAATATACACTTTATCATCCTAATAGATTTTTTTTGTAATTGTTTGTGTACATTGAGAAGTATTTGCATTAGTTAATTATTTC